CAGCGCGCCCCGCCGAGCCCAGCTCCAGCCCTGCGGGCCCGGGGAGCGGCGCCCCGGCGGGGGCCGAGGCCGGAGCCGCTCTGCCGGGCTCCAGGGCTCCGACTCCTCCTCCCCCGGCGCCGCCGCCGCCCGCCGCGCCGGGTCCTAAAGTCGCGCGACTCAAGAGGATGGTGCGCCTGGCCGCGGAGCTGCTGCTGCTGCTGGGGCTGCTACTGCTCACGCTGCACATCACGGTTCTGCGCGGATCCGGAGCCGCCGACCTGCAGGACGGGGCCACCCGAAACGACAGCGGGTCCCAGCTGCAGGTGAGTGAACCGCCCGAGAAGGGCGTGAGCGGCCGCGGGAAGCTGGGCGGCCAGCAGGGTGGGGAGCTAGCCCTGGGGAGAAGCAAGGAGGCGGGTCCTCCGTCCCACCAAAGAGCAGCTGTTTGGGCAGTACTTTTGCCAGAGCTACTCTGCTTCGGCAGAGGCAGAGTGGGGGCTAAACGTGGAGGGCCAACTGGCTCTGAGGTCTGCGGATGCACTCCTCAGATCTTTCACAGGTCAGGCACTGGGGAAGGAGGGCTAAGGGTGAGGCTTGGGATGCACGGACAAGTGGGGGGGGGGCACTGAATAACTTTAAGATAAGGAAGGATCGAGGTGGGGTGACATAAGAACTTATATAGAAGATAATGCCTCAAAACTATGTTTGGGAGAAAGAATTCAGTGGGTGTCCAAATAATGTTAAAGGTCAGGACGTTATTTCTGGAGAATAGCCAGACACCCCTACTTTGCCCATATGGTTCCTATACCTTCCTTGTGCCTCTGCCCTGTGCAAAGTGTTGTGGGGTCAAGGCACCTGTGGAGATTTGGTCTGAAGTTACTCAGTGCTTTTAAACTAGTAGTAAAGACTTCTTTCCAATGACCTCCTTCGAAAAGGTCACTTTAGGAATAGGATTCTGTCATCCATTTCAGCTCCAAAAAGGAAGGGTCAAGACCAGGGGACATATATCAGGCCATCAGATGCCAAGTGAGTTTTGCTGTCTGGGTGAAGGTTTTTTCCCACCTGGGATTTCCTGCTGCGACCTTGGAAAGTGCTGGGTCTAGGCCTGTGACAGCTGTAGCCCTGGAGAACCAGAAATAAGCAGGGATTTTCACCCAGACACAGAGACACAGTGAAATTTCGCCAGTCCCTAAAAATCTCAAGCCAGGCCTTTTAAAATGGTTCACTCTGCGAAGTCTAGATTTCATATCATTATATGATTTGTTGCAAAAAAATAAAAATAAGTAAAAAGGCCTATTATTAAGCAGAAAGGAGAGTATTTAAATACTTCAGCATCACTTATTTACTATTCTATTTTAAGAATGTTACGAGGATTTAACTCATTTAATTTCATCATAACCCTGTGCGGTACAAGATTGTGAATATCTCTGCCTTACAGATTGTGAAACTGAGGTACAGGAAGCTCAAGAAATTTGCCAAAGTTCACACATTCCTGCCTGTTGGGTCATTACACCAAACTGTGTATGCCAGGCTAAAGCAAGGTGATCCCTACAAACACAAAGCAGGCATGCAAAAGTATAGACCTCAAGGTTTAACATTCTTTTAAACTTGGGACATTTCTAAGAACATCCTAGTTTTGTAGGCGCCTCTCATCTTACCTTGTGGGTAAACCTGTATAGTGACAGACATTTCTTTCTCCCTGGGGAAATGGAAACAACCACTGTCGCCTGAACCTGTTCACTGCCAGTCTAACATGTCCAAATAATTCTTAATATCTTCAAGGTTTCTGGAAATTGTATTTTATACATGATGCTTTCTTTCCTCTTGGACTCATGAAAAGCTGTAAAAATGATGTTCTATGGAAAAGTAAATTTGGCAGAGTTCTTTATGAGGCGCTTGCTCTCGTTAGAATAACCTGGGGTCGGCCCTTTCTGCCCCAACAGTAAGTTAATGAGAGAAGCAGCTGGTGGAATTGGATTGGATTCTAAAAGGCGACTTTGGTTGAAGAACAGCCCCTAAAGGGCAAAAGAAGTAGGGGGTTTAGAAAGAGTAATAATGCTCCTAGGACTATCTGAGGTCCCAAGTAGCTGCCAATCCATTGGCTTCAGCTTATCTTGTAACAGTGTTCAGTTATGACCATTCAAAGCACTCACTTAACCAAGCAGAGTGATGAGTTTCACAGGTTAGTTTATAACTTGTTCCTTTAGTAATTTCTTATTATAAAAGTTTTATATTCTTCCTGACCAAAGTTATTTCTTGGGTTCTGATTCTCCAAAGATAGTACGAGTCAAATGGACAGAGCATGTTCAGCCAACTAGCGTCTGCAAAAGACATTTATCTGTGGTGCGCCGGCTGCAGAGAGTGAATTTGCTAGCAACAGGTGTATTTGATGACAAAACGGGGGTCACTGTATTCTTTATGTTTTCCAGACATTTTAAACCCAAGTCTTAAACCCCATTTAAAGTTTTTGGCTGCTAAAGCCCTTCTTAGAAATCAGAAACTCAACTGTTCCTTACATTTTATTGTTGTTATTTCTGTTTACAATATTCCAAGATCTGTTGTTGGCTGAGTCAGAAACATGCAGTGGTGAGTTTACCTCAGCTGTACCGTACTTGGAATTATTTAAAAAGCAGCACACTTTAAGATTTGGTGATTTTGGATGGATCAAAAAAATCAAATAAAACAGATTAAGAATAGTTGAAGATTTTTAAGTCCCTTTTAAGTGCCATGCAGTGCTGTTAGCACTTTACACATATTAACATCTTCAATCTCATTAACCCTCTTTCAAATGGAGAAACTGACATTAGGTAACTTCCTCTAAGTTGAAAAGCTCTTGAATTTTCTTCTGTTATTTTATAGCATAAAAATGAATGCCATATATGCTGTATAGTGCATTCTAAATTATATGTTCATATTCCAAGTTCTTGGTAAACCCATAATAAAAAAACTTTTAGCAAGTTATATTTTCAAATATATTTACCATCTTACTGTGTCAATTATAAATACATACAAGTATATACAAGTATAGACTTCCATTATATTTGTACATATATACACATTTTAAAACAAGATTTTTTTGATAGTTTCAGCATTCTAGGGAGTCCAGGTTTGACCTTGTAAATGACTGACCCATTTCTGCAAGTATGTTGCTGGGAGATGCCAGTAAAATACTGTGAGCACATAATATTCTCTCAGTTAGCAAGTCATAAAATGTCTTTGCACTGTTTTCAATATTTTAAAGAATCTAGTAAGAAATTCTACAGTTTGGGGCATGAACTGCATAAAAATTCATGGAAGCATCAACTTTTTTGCTTTTTATAAAACCTTACCTCTTTATTGGAATAACTATGTGTTGTTCAGATATTCAGATTAGTTCTTACATATGTCTTTAAATAATAGTGAGAAAACAATTATATATAATAAAAGCAGTCTGGAAAACAGAACATTCCAAAATACAAACTCCATAGGCAATAACAATTATAATCAAAACAATGATATCTCTTTTATATGAAATTCACAAATATCTTTCTAATAAATCTCAGTCTGCTTTAGAATCATTTTTTTAAAAATATATATTTTTTATGTGTATGAGTGTATTGCCTGCATGTATGTGAGTGCACCTGTGTCATGCAGTGCCACAGAGGTCAGAAGATGGCATGGGAGTCCCTTAGAACCAGAGTCAAGGACAGATCATAGGTGCCATGTAGGTGCTGGGACTCGAACCCGGGTCCTCTGCAAGAGCAGTCAGTACTCTCAACCGCTGAGCCATCTCTCCAGCCCCTAGAATCATGATTTTTAGTAGTAAAGCCAGACCTCATTAAATAGGCAGTGAGATTTAAGTAAGTTTAATAAAATACCAAATTGGTTATTTTTACAATAACGTGAAAGGACACAGAACTCCAAACTTTAATGAAATGATTTTTTTCTTGATCTGCTGTCTCCGTGAGCAAGCGCACTGCCTCTTTCATTGTCTGTAACCTTCAGTCAACATTTAGCTTCTAGCACTCACTCAGGGCTTCTCCTGAGCCATGTAGCACCAGAAGCAAAAGCACTGCTGAGTGAAGTTTCTCACAGCGACCCTAAGGGATGCCTGAAACTGCAGATAGTGTCAGATCCTATGCACTATGTTTCCCCCTCTTCATGCATGCTTGTGATAGTCTAATTTATAAATTAGACACAGTAACTTGGAGGCTGGAGAGATGACACAGTGGTTAATAGCACTGCTCTTGCAGAGGACCTGGGTTCAGTTCCCAGCATTGACATGGCAGCTAACAACTGTCTGTAACTCCAGTTCCAGGGGGTCTGACACCTTCTTCTAACTTCTGCCAGCATCACACACATGTGGAGTGCTTACACACAGGCAAAATACCCATACACATAAAATTTTAAATAAATAAATAAATAAATTTTTAAAGAACAGTAATGTGTAATAAGAACAGTTACAGTATATTATTTTTTAAAAATTCATCACTCTAACCAAAACAGCATGCATTTAAGCTCACAAATGACTTATTTCTGAAATTTTCCATTTAATATTTTCAGACCACAATTAATTGCTGGTATCTTTAGCCACAGAAAGTGAAACCACAGATGAGGGACTGGTGTAACCATTCCACAGATGAGGACACTGGGACTGAAGTGATTTTAGGAACTTGCTCAAAGCTATACAGCTCAGGGAGGGAGAAACTAAGACTTGGACCCAGATAGGCTGACTGTGGGGTGTAAGTTCTTGATCCCATCATCAGCAAGATTCCTCCAGCTTTGATTCAAGTTAATCATTATTTATGCTTCTTGTCTCCCAACTTGCGTTGTCCACTCTCCAGTCAAACAATTGCTCTTATCACTGGACTCTTATAAGTGATGGGTAATCACCCTACTTCACTACTGCTGCATAACAAGCCACTCCACGATTTAGTGGCTTAATGTGACAACATTATTTGCTCATCAGTTTGTATGTCAGTGTCTTGCTCTGGCTCAGATGGGTGTTTTCTGTTTATTGTCCCTTAAATTGTCCATGTGCCTATGTCCTCTGTTGGTTTAATGTGGGTAGGGTAGTGCAGTGACTTCACTCATAAGTCTGATGGCTGGTGCTGGTTGTCACCTGGGTGATCTCTCTACAGAACTGCTCATCCTCAAGAAGAGGCACTTACACATCTCCATGTGGTGGAGTCAGAGCACCAAGCAAATGCAAGCAGGAGGTGTAAGGCCCATCAACAAACTTCACATTGACACTTTAGTCCCATTCTGTTATTCAGACAAATCAGGGGGTCAACTTTGATTCTCAGGAACTGGAAATAGATTCTGCCTCTTGTTGGGAAGAACC